GGAGTCAGCTGACAGTGCTCAGAGAGTCAGGAGCCCAGGAGTCAGCTGACAGTGCCCAGAGAGTCAGGAGCTCAGGAGTCAGCTGACAGTGCTCAGAGAGTCAGGAGCCCAGGAGTCAGCTGACAGTGCCCAGAGAGTCAGGAGCTCAGGAGTTAGCTGACAGTGCTCAGAGAGTCAGGAGCCCAGGAGTCAGCTGACAGTGCCCAGAGAGTCAGGAGCTCAGGAGTCAGCTGACAGTGCTCAGAGAGTCAGGAGCCCAGGAGTCAGCTGACAGTGCCCATGCATTTTGCTCTCTAATGAGAAAATCATTAAGATTGGAGAGGACAGCTGCTCTGACAAGGTGTATTAAAGGGTGTATTAAAGGGTCTCGTGGGGGTGGTGGGAATGGGGGCTTGTCATTTACTGAAGAGACAGCAAAAAGGAGGGGGGGGGGGGCAGGACTGTACCCTGACACCCACAATGAAATAAGGGAAGAAGAAAAATAGATCGTCGTGATGTTAAGGGATTCCCATTCAATCCAATGGGGGGGCCTGAGGTACCAGTCTGCTCTTGGGACTGGGAACATTTTCTTATGTCTTTTTGAAGTTGAAAGGGCATTCTGGGAAATGGCTGTGGGCCGCACCACGATGGAGAAGGAAGGTCACCTGACCATAGACACCAAAGATTCGAGTGAGTCAATGAGTCTAGGGAACTGAGTGGAGTGAGAGAGTCCCTTCTCACACTGTGATGGGGCAAACATGATTTCTGCTTTCTACTTGCTTGTGAAATATATCACGTTAGTTTCTTATATGTGAATATGTTACATTATAAATGCGTAAGATGTGTGCTTTGAATGAAGCAGAGAACATGCACAGGGATGTCAGCCTGTGCATATATACTCCTTTGGCTTTCACATCCCCCTATAGCTCTACATGAGAGACACTTTTTGGGAACAGAGCAGAGGGTCAGCCTGCACGCCAGGAGAAAGCCGGGTTAATTAAAGGTCTTGTGCTATGGCCTGAAGTCGATATTGTTACTCTGGCATGGGATTAGAGCCCACAACCTTCTGGACATGGACTCAGATTCCTAACCCACCGAGATACACACCAGCCTTTAGCAAATGGCATTAAAAATATGTTCCTGGGCAATTAAATGCAGCACTAATTACACCTAGATTGAAGCAGACCTTTATGCTTGTTCGTGCTGAATTGTGTTTAGCGCTGCCCTCTAGTGGTGGGAAATGTAAATTTGAAACAGAGCATAGTAATTGTAAAGTTGACTTTTGCAGCCCTCTGGATAAGACACCGGTGAAAAGCGACTTAATGTCATAACTGCTTGTAGCGTAACTCTCGTTTGAAGCCGTTTATTTCAGAGACGATCGCATATTGCAGTATGTTGCGTTTGCTGATGTATAAATATTGCATTACTAAATGGGTAATATGATCCAAAACCTGAACAGCTGTCTTTAGAGATGCGGTAATTGTTCCTTACTGTCCATCGTTGTTTTCTAAGTGCCTGCGAGTATGATCATTGTCCTCTGCTGACAGGAACATGCTCTCCCTGGGCACCAGCCCCCCCCCCCTCCAGTGGATAGGCTCCTTTCTGATCCCCCCAGTCTGGAAGACCGACTTACCAGACTTCCCCATTTTCCCTCCCACTTTCTCCTCTCTCTTTTCTTCTTTCTCCTTTTCCTCTTTCCTTCTCATATCTGTCTCCTTATCTCTCCTCTTCTCCTCTCTTTTTCCTTCTTTCTCTGCTTAGTCTCTCTCCTTCTCCTCTCTCTCCTTATACTCTCTCCTCCTTCCCTTTTTCCTTCTCATTTTTTCTCCTTCTGTCTCTCTTTTTTCTCTCCATTCTTCATCTCATCTCCTCCTTCTCTTACTCTCCTTCTACTCTCTCTCCTTCTTCTCTCTCCTCTCCCCATTCTCTCCTCTTTCCTTCTCCTCCCTCCTTATTCTCTCTCCTCCTTCTCCTATCTTTTTCCTTCTAATTTTTTCTCATTCTCTCCATTCTCCTTCTCATCTCCTCCTTCTCTCTCCTTCTCCTCACTCCTCCTTCTTCTCCCTCTCTCTCTCCTCCTCTGCCTCTCCTTTGCCCACCCCGGTCCTGCCCCATGCAGTGACCCGCTGCGGATTATCAGCCAGTCACCACTAATGCCCCCCCCCCAAATCCCCCTTACTACTTCACAAGCTGGGGAAACTTTGAAGTGTGGTAAGGGGAGGGAGGCGGCACACCAGCGGGGTGCAGGTGCGAGACCTGCATTGTCATGATGAAGTTAGCTACTGTGAGAGAAAGCAGGAAGACTCCAGCAGACCCGGAAGGAGTTGCTGTCCATACCACGCATAGGGCTTTCGCTGCATTATGTTTTCACATTTTTATATGTTTAGGTGACGCTTTTATCTGTAAATTAATAAAGGAGAAAGGGTCTTACTCAATGGCCCAGTGGCGAAATCACTCTGCCAGCGCTGGGATTGGAGCTCACCTTCCAGCCACAGAGCCAGCGTCCAATCCCAGTGAGCCACACACTGCCCGTGTTCCCTGACTGTGCTCTCATTTTTTTAAACCATTTTTACTCATCTGTGTCTGTGTATTTCATTATTGTTTCTGATGTGTTACACACCTTTCTTTAAGAATGTACAGTATGTTTTGTGGGCAGCTTTTGGTTTCGGGCTGAACAGACACTGAGAGTAACAGATACAGGCTTGATCTTCATTAACCCCATGATATTTACGTAGAATTTATTTAGCATTTATCTTCAAAATAAAACACAGAGCCTCACACCACCTGTCCCTGTGTCCCGTGACCTTGTGGCCGGGCCTGTCCCTGTGTCCCGTGACCTTGTGGCCGGGCCTGTCCCTGTGCCCCGTGACCTTGTGGCCGGGCCTGTCCCTGTGTCCCGTGACCTTGTGGCCGGGCCTGTCCCTGTGCCCCGTGACCTTGTGGCCGGGCCTGTCCCTGTGTCCCGTGACCTTGTGGCCGGGCTTGCCTCGGTATCCTGTGCTGTCGG